TGTATTACTCTTACCTTTATGAGCAAAAATGACGGCGTATCCACTGAAAAAAATGCAAGTGATCGCGTTGGCGCCTCCATGTCCTGCAAAGCGCGCTTTAGCTTGCACTCTCCGCACAAACTATTGGATATATAGCGCACATTTATCTAGCTTTAACGTTTAAACACTGTTGTATGCTTGAACTGTTTTATATCTATTGATTTTATTTTAGGCAATTCGTGATGATTTGAGAAGACTAAATTTATCAAACATAGGCTATGATCAGCTCACTGTCTGCCGCTGGTCGCTTGGTCGTTACTTTAAAAAACAAAAACTTTTAACGAACAAAAATGCTCCAAACATTTTTTCTAAATTACCTTAATAAAAAAACAAAACAAAATATAATCACTTTGCCATTACATACAAAACTGAACAATTGTAATAGTTGAGACAGTACTATAAGTTGTTTTGGGAGAAGGGGAAAAAAGACGGGCACGGGCCGGTAATTCTGATAAGCTGTCGGACACGGGCCGGGCTAGGGACTATATTTGAGGCCCGTGCAGGGCTCTACCAGGTACTATGATGAAGCAGCACTAAATATAGCGTTATGTCAAAATACTCATTTATTTAATTTTAAATTAAACAAATGTAATCCTGATAGTATTCTCACTTTTTACAAAATGTAACTGTAATCTGAATACTTTGTTTTTCGATGCAACTGTAATGGATTACAGTTACTAGATTTTTCTAGTATTTTACTAGTTTTCTAGTATCCTGATTACGTAACGCCGTTCCGTTACTCCCCAACCCTGGGTACCATGAACGTGGTTCCCCTTCTGGGAAACTCAATGCTGCGTCCTGGTGGACACTTTGGGGAACGCTGTCTGCCTGACCGGTACCTGAAGCATGCGTAAAACAACTCCAGTCCTATTGGTCCACGTGGCCCGTGACGTCATAGTACCCGAAAGTATAAAAGGGGCATCTGCTGAATATGTCACCAACTTTTGTTGTCTTCGGAGCCGTCTCTCTGTTGAACATGTGTGAAACATCATCCTGGTGAGTCGAGCAGCGCTTTGAGGAATATGTGCCTCCGTGTTGGGATTCTAACATTTGAGGACATATTCTAACCTTTTCGTCTTTGTCTAAAACGGCGACCACGCGCTCTTTGTGATGAATCACTTTAATGCGCTTTAATGCGTCTCGGGCCGTTGCACCCTCAGTTTATCTCAGCTTGCGGTGATTGCTTTGATCTGCGGTGTCCGCATACCCTCGACTATCAGGTTGCCTGATGCCGTGGATATTGCTCGCGTTGCTATAACGATGAAGTGTGAGCACCGAGTCATTTTTAGCTCAGGGCGTGCGAGATTGCGGGCGGTGCTATATTCAACTCAGCCGTGCCTCTCTAATATGCATGTTATTGTGTGTGGAGAGCCTCGCTGGGCATAGTTATACTGAATGCTCTGTGGAATGAAGCTGTTAGCTTCTCTCCCAAGGTGCTTCAGTAGTCTAGAGTGGTTACGGGGAATGTTCGTTGCTATAACGATGAAGTGTGAGCACCGAGTCATTTTTAGCTCAGGGCGTGCGAGATTGCGGGCGGTGCTATATTCAACTCAGCCGTGCCTCTCTAATATGCATGTTATTGTGTGTGGAGAGCCTCGCTGGGCATAGTTATACTGAATGCTCTGTGGAATGAAGCTGTTAGCTTCTCTCCCAAGGTGCTTCAGTAGTCTAGAGTGGTTACGGGGAATGTTCCTTCCTGTGTTTAGCCGGGTGATAAGTGAACAGTCTCTGCTCAGAGTGTAGCCATCTGCGGATGATTATGCTCCAGTTCAGGCTGTTTTGCTTTGGAATATAGCAGTCTGAGGACAGCTATGTTCTAGCCAGGCGTTTATAACTGGGTTTAGTTCCCCTTGGGTACAAACTGTCTCAGGTAAGTGCAGAGACTGCTCCCCCTTGTGGGGTCTTTAAGTAGTGGTCTCCTTGAGCCCTTGCCTAGACTGCACTGTCTTCCCTGTTTGGGTTTTAGGTAGATGGTCCACTTCATGGCCTGGGCGAACTTCAGCCTTATCTGAGGGAAATGCTATTTGAGGATAGCTGTGTCCAGCCACCTAGTGTTATGGCCGTTGCTTGCATCAGGCTTTGATCTGGACTATGGTTTTTATGTGTTCGCTCCTTAGCGAATCATTACTATGGTCTGGATCTTCCTATTGTGAGCCTCTGCTCAATATATTGGTGAACGAAAAGCTAGCGTACTGTGGGACTGACACGGATTGGGGACCTCCTTAGTATAACCACCTAAGGGTGGTTATATTTCAACCATTGCCATGGTAGTTGTAGTGGTCCCCTTTCCTAGAGCCTAGCTATCTGAGGATAGCCATGTGCTAGTTCAGTGATTGCTCCCCTGCCTAGGGTTTTTAAGTAGCGGTCTCCTTGAGCCCTACCTAGACAGTGCTGTCTCCCCTGCTAGGGTTGTAAGTAGATAGCCCACTCTTGTGGCCTCACAGGAGGGCTTACCTGGATTTTTCAGGCTAGCTGTGTGGGACCAGCTATTGATAGCTTGGTGATTGCTCCCCTTCTTATGGTTTTAAGTAGTGGTCTCCTTGAGCCCTACCTAGACAGTGCTGTCTCCCCTGCTAGGGTTGCAAGTAGACAGCCCACTCTTGGTGGTCTGGGTAGTCTCAGTCGGTCCCCTCCTGTTCTACTATTCATAAAATCCATGTTTATGGTAAGCGTATATGCTAGCTTCTGTGCGTTTTCTAAAATCCACATTGTGGTAAGTGTGCACACTAGGCACCCTGCGCACTTTTCTAAAATCCTGTATGGTATGGGTTACACGCTCTACTTTGTTCCCATTCTCTGAGTTGGTTCTGGCCCGGGTTCTCCTTGGGCCTCACTCCATTTATGTATCTCTGGCGATACTTCTGAACAGGTATTCCTCTCGTTAAGAGAGTCATTCTTAGGTGCATGGCTATCTGAGGATATCAATGTGCTAGCTTAGGGACTGCTCCCCCTTCTTGGGGTTTTAAGTAGCGGTCTCCCTGAGCCCTTGCCTAGACAGTGCTATCTCCCCTGCTAGGGTCATAAGTAGATAGCCCACTCTCTGTGGTCTGGGCAGCTTCACAGGTAGGTTTACCAGGGGTTTTAGTTTTTGGTCCTGTAGCCCCTTCCTAGGGATATAGCTATCTGTGGATAGCTATGTGACTGCTCCCCTTCCTAGGGTTTTTAAGTAGCGGTCTCCCTGAGCCCTGGCTTAGACAGTGCTATCTCCCCTGCGGGGTTTAAGTAGATAGTCATTCCCTTGGTCTGGGCAGCTCTTTAGGAAGGTCCTTTTCATAAGACCCTTTGGATATAGCTATCTGCGGATAGCTGTGTCCTTGCTGGGATTGTTGGTGGCAATCTTGAGAACTCCTCTAGGCTTCCAGCCTCTCAGTGGTCTTATGTATCTGGCTACTATTGCTCACATAGCATAGCTATCTGAAGATGGCTGTGTTCTTAGCTTGGTTAGGGTGTTCAACCTTATCTGATATCGGGCTCCCTCATTTTACCAAGTTATGTGAGTGGCCCGAGGCGTCAGTGGCTTGGCCCCTTTCTGAGGAAAGGTTTGGTGTATGTCTGTCACCTCCTTGGCGCTCTCTCACCAGGTGGACAGGCATGCGCCTCGGCATGGCGTGATTGGATATCGTTCCCCAAAGTGTCCACCAGGACGCAGCGTTGAGTTTCCTAGAAGGGGAACGTCTCGGGTTACTCATGTAACCATGGTTCCCCGAGAGGGAACAAGACTCTGCGTCCCTTTGCCATGCCTTCGGCCTGCCTGTTTACGTCTCCTCAGACAACTGAGTTGGTGACATATTCAGCAGGTGCCCCTTTTATACTTCCGGGTACCCGCTTATGACGTCACGTGCCACGTGGACCAATAGGATTGGAGTTGTTTTACGCATGCTTCAGGTACCGGTCACGCAGACAGCGTTCCCCAAAGTGTCCACCAGGACGCAGCGTTGAGTTCCATCTCGGGTAACCATGGTTACATGAGTAACCCGAGACGTTATCTTTCCCTCACATCCAAAAACACTTCTTTGAAGACATTCTACTTGAGCAAGTCCTGTTCTTATGTATCTGGCTACTATTGCTCACATAGCATAGCTATCTGAGGATGGCTGTGTTCTTAGCTTGGTTAGGGTGTTCAACCTTATCTGGTATCGGGCTCCCTCTTTTTACCAAGTTATGTGAGCGGCCCGAGGCGTCAGTGGCTTGGCCCCTTTCTGAGGAAAGGTTTGGTGTATGTCTGTCACCTCCTTGGGGCTCTCTCACCAGGTGGACAGGCATGCGCTTCGGCATGGCGTGATTGGATATTGTTCCCCAAAGTGTCCACCAGGACGCAATGTTGAGTTCCCTAGAAGGGGAACGTCTCAGGTTACTCATGTGACCATGGTTTCCCGAGAGGGATCGAGACGTTGCGTCCCTTTGCCATGCCTTCGGCCTGCCTGTTTACGTCTCCTCAGACAGGTGCCCCTTTCTTCCTGTATCTGTTTGCCTCTTTAAGAAGAATCGCTTTATGTATCCCCAAATTGTAAGTCGCTTTGGATAAAAGTGTCTGCAAAATGACTAAATGTAAATGTTTTACGCATGCTTCAGGTACCGGTCACGCAGACAGCGTTCCCCAAAGTGTCCACCAGGACGCAGAGTCTCGTTCCCTCTCGGGGAACCATGGTTACATGAGTAACCCGAGAAGTTTGGCTTTTAGTGGCGTGCATTGCCATAATAACTTACACTGCACAGCTAACCTGCTCCGGGGCAGGTTATGTTCTGAGTTAGAGAACTCAAACTGAAACTGAACCAAAGTGACACACGTCTGATGCAAAATTATTCTATTATTATTAATCCATTACGCAGAATAAATTTTAGTTGAACAATTATTATAAAGCCTTTATTTTAAATGAATATTAATATATACAGATCATATGTAATATAAATAAGCTGTAGAATCAATAGATAACACTTTAAAAATGACTACATGTGATCTTACATGCCTCTATCGCTAACTTCTCAAGTTTCACTTGTGACTGCACTGATAGAGCAAGACAATTTCTTTTATTTGTCCTCTTTCATGGACAAGTACTTTATTCAGTGTAAATGCATTTAAATTCCTTATATTCTTCAATCTCTTAACCTTAAACAAAAGAGTTTTTGGATCTCGTTGGCTCTGTTGCCAGAGGTGAATTACATTTGCTCTGTGTTGGGAGGCATGTGATTGGCTGTTCACCAGTGATGTCACACATTCATGTGCACGTGCTCCACAAACTCAGGATCAAATCCTGAGTTGACAAAGAAAGTTGATGATCAGCATCATGGTTCCAACAAAGCTGGATTGGAGTGCTTTGGTTTTATCAACTCGAAACTCATCCTGTAACTCAGAATTTGTTCAGCTACCATCATGGTACAGGCCCCTGGTTATTTTGGCAATTTAGAAATCCTGTGCAGAACGTGTCCCCGGGAAGTGGCACATCTGGTCACCTTAGTCTATGCATGACCTGACATTTTATTTGTATCCAAAATGGGGAGATGTGAACATTACCAAAGACTATAGACATACAAAGACGGTTCACTCCGATACTTATGAATGAGAGAAACTGCAACTCGCAATATGGTGGATTAGTCCCACCTTCAAAATGAAAGAGCCAATCACTGATTGGTAAAGTCATTGCAGCTGCCATTAGAAACTCTGGTTCCCATAGAAACCTGAGTCTAGACCAGCCATTGCGCATACGGATTCCGCCATTCATTTAGATAGGACTTGGTCTTATATGAGCAGCCCGGAGTGTCAAGGTCAGCAGGAAGAGACCCAAATGCAGAGTGAGTGAATCAAAGATTTATTGAAAACACACAAGGTCACTCAGCATAGGGGTGGACAATCTTGAGACAGCTCCAACCAGCAGGGAGAGAACTATGCCCCAGGAGCTAGAACAGTCTAAGTTGTTGGCCAAACCAGGCAGAAGGATTGGGAGAAGACCAGAGAAGAGAACAGCAGAGCATGCAATCAGAGTGAAGGGACTCAAAGCAGGCCAGTATCAGAGATTAGGCGCCTCATTTATAAAATGTTATGCAGAAAACATCCGAAATTTGATTTTACGATCACCCATCACATATGTGTACATGTGATTCATAGAATGAACATACGCACAGAAAACACACGTACACCTCTCTTTCAGATGTGAAATATGAATCGCAAATGAACTTGCGCGCAACTGAATAAAGAATAAAAGATCACCAGTCATCGTCCATATCCTTTAATTTAGAACAGCGAGCTGCAAGAACAGCTTACATTTTCCAAAACCTGCAGTATTCTGACAAGAAAAAGTAGGTAGCCTATGTCTGCTCAGTCCCTGACGTGACGCTAAGCACTTTTCCGCGTCAAAGGCACTATTTACAAATATGAGCATTGGTGTGGATTTAAGCGTACACACACTCTAAGATCAAATCGGAGTATACGCACATTATATAAATGAGGCCCTAGGTTCTCAGCACCAGACTTGGTTGGCAGATCACCTTGGGGAACCAACAGGCAGGGAGTCTCAGGCTGGTAGAGCAGGACTAGAGGGAACACACAGCACAAACACACACGAACACACAACAAGACCAAACAAGACACCACTCAAGACCACTCAACAACACTACTCAGCACAAAATAAGGAGAAACAACATGATGCAATAAAAGGGAAAAAATAACATAGGAAAATATAGAAGAACTAAACAATCAAAACCAAAAGTAAAGGAAATGTCTAATAAATAAATAAAGTATAAAATCCAAGCAATACAAGACTAGAAACAAGACTGAAGAACAACTAAAGAAAATAATACAAATAAATAAGCAAGATTACTGAATGATCATAAACAAAAAACAAAATGGAAAACAAGAGAAAAACTGCAGCACGGCTACACAATCAGCAAATAACAGAACAAGACTAGAATATAGAGCAGCGAGTCAGAAACTGTCTCTATGGCACAAGAGGAACCCACAAGCACAAGAGGAAATACAGCACAATATAAAGAGAAGAAAGTACACGAGGGCCAGGTGAGCACAATTAAGAAAACGAGGACAAGACAAGGGTTAAACAAGAGGGCATGTCCAAGGGAAACAAGGAGGTGGGACAACAGGAAAATATGGCAGACACAAACAAAGACAAAGCAATGTGTTAAGACAAGATAAACAAACAAACAAAAAAAACATTAAACAAACACAATACAGACAAAGCTGCCAGGGCAGAGCCCTGTTACGGAGGCATTGCAAATATGGCCGCCGAGTGAACAGACTTGACTTGAAAGGGACTTCGACATTACAGAGCGCTAAACACTATCATGCAGTGTATTTTTCATTCATACTCAAAGCTGGAGGGCGCTCTCGTGCAGAAAGTCCAAAATGGAAGTAATAACTTATGTCATGCCAAGAAATCTTAATATGGACAAAGGCATCCAGCAATCCCCTGTAAAGCTGAATAAAAAACAGCGAAGACAATACATGCACGATTGCGACAATATATGGTTTATGTGTTTTTCAAGTGATCTCCGGGTAATAAATAAAGTATCTGAATAATGCAGTGCTAACTGATAACTGACATAGCATTTACTGTATGTGGTTTACGTGTGTGTGTGTCTAAAAGTAAAGGTTAGTTTAAAGCACTTAATTATTGTATATTTGTATAGAGTCTATTAATGTATTAACTACAGTAATGATTTGTAAGTACTTTATTACTTCTTATAAAGTGTTACCGTAAATTGCACAACATACCTTAATATTCACTAAAACAGAAACATTAAGTAGTTCCAACATGCATTACTGAACATCTGGTGACATTCAAATGCTGCAGTTACTATTAACCTTTCCAATAGGTTGAAAGGTGTTGATTGCTACAGTGTCTCAGGTCTTATAAGACACCAGTAGATTTTATCAGAGTGGTTATTGTTTTAATTTTAGAACTTTTCCATGCTTACATTAGCAATTTCCTTTTCCATCATCATCACCCGGGCAACCTCTTGCCTGATATTAGTGTCATTGACCTCCAGACCCCGGTCTGTTCGGATAAGCTTTGCCAAGTCAGTCATGAAGTTCTCATATGTCACACAGGCCTGAGAAAAACACACATTGATAACACATGAGTGCTAAATTCAATACCTGTTAGCATGCATATTTTCTTCATTCATTTACGATACCTATTTGGGCACTCTGTGAGAAATTATTCAAGCTAATTCCTTATTTCCTCTCATTCTCTGCTTTACAGCAAAACGTTGCATAATCATAAGTTCAAACTGGAAACAAAAGACAAGATCTTGGTCCAAGTATTTTCAATCTGTCCCTTTCTAACTTTCTTTATTGCCTTTTTGTATTAAATTAGCCAGGCCTGGAACATAATAAAGGCAGAGAGCACTTATATGTCTGACATGAATAACGATCAGTTGATGATAACTAACAGTTTGTGTCCATTGAGTCTGAACACTCCAGTCCAAGAGTGACATTGCAAAAGAAATTATATGCAAATTGATTGTCTTATTTTAATTGAGTAGACTGTTGGATCTTTTAGGAGATGGACTGGGCTTATCTTTCACTTCTAGCTTGTGTGGTCTGGGCAAATCCAAGGTGGGTTGTTTTATCTGTAACTCCTAAATTTGGTCAATTTCATAAATATTGACTTTTTATTGGATAAATAATGTGAGAAAGAAAATGTAGAGAAAGACAGACAGCTAGAGACCCTTCTTGTCCATTGCTTAGACTAGCCTGAACCAACATGAAAATTCATTATGGTCTAAGCTCATCTTTTTAGCAGGGAGAAGAGAGGTGAAGGGAAAAAAGAGATAGGGAGATAAAAGCACGAGGATAAGTTTGACAAAATCCACCTGTTCCTGTTTAACAGGCTATTATTACCTCCTCATATGGTCCTGTGCACACATAGTAGTCTCTTGAGGAGAGGCCAAGACTTGAATGGTCAAACTGGCACAGAGAATAAAACCAAGAGACAATCAGCCTTTCTTTCTTAATAGAAAACTCAACGCATACACATGTAGTGCCACCCCAATAAAACTGTATCAATTACTCCAATTACTCAAACCTCACAAAGCAATAAAGAAGGATACTGTTTGTTTAAAGCAATTATGCGATTTTGCAACTTAAAAGGCGCTTTTTTGTGGAGAAGTGTTTTCAACTAAAGCAAACATGCATTTGTGTTTGTATGCAAAAGAGAAAAGAGGTAGTCTGTTGTTGCGCACACCTACATGAATGATATGCGCATTGGAGTCTCTGTCATCTGTACCAATAAAAAAGCTAATTAGGACTTGCTTTCCATATTTCTCATTCAGTTTGGCTATGGCATCTTCTGCTCTCCAATTCATTCCTGTAGAGGAGAGGAGAGGATAGGAGAGGAGAGAGGAGAGGAGAAATTGAAACATAAAGTACCTATGAGGTAACTGGGCACATGCATAAAAACCTACTGAGAAATCTTCTCCTACCGTAGCTGGTGTCCCAATCATCTGTTGCTATAGGCCACTCAAAGACATCTGGCAGCACTGCAAGCAGAGGCGTCCCACCTCTCTGTTCAGTGAGGCCTGTCAGGAAAATATTGAAGTAATGCAACATTATTTAAGCATCCAGTGAACACTGAAGTTGTTGAAATTTGAATTTGTTTGTTGAGAATCTCTTATGAATCTCATGTTTGGCAGCTCATTTGAAGAACTGCATAATGATTTGATAAAGACATCTTCCATGGACAGAATCATAACCGAATCTTTCTGACAATTTATGAAGATATAATATTAAAGGGATAGTTCACCCAAAAATCGTCCAGATTTTTGGACGTCAACGTCCAGAAACGTAGCAAGGAGATCGGTAAAATAATCCATGTGACATCAGAGGTTCAACCGTAATTTTACGAAGCTATGAGAATACTTTTTGTACGCAAAGAAAACAAAAATAACGACTTTATTCAACAATTCATCTCCTCCGCATTACCCTAACGCCATTTTGGAGAGTATCCACTGAACGCAAACAGCGTATGCTGTACTGTGTCAGCCGCACCACACGGATACGTTGTTTACATTCAGATCAAAGGGTAAATTACGTAAACAGCGTATCCGTGTGGTGCGGCCATAATAATCCACATGGATTATTTTACCAATTTCCTTGATACGTTTCTGGACGTTGATCTTGTTAATTACATTGCTGTCTATGAGAGGGTCAGAGAGCTCTCAGAATGCATCAAAAATATCTTAATTTGTGTTCCAAAGATGAACGGAGGTCGTACGGGTTTAGAATGACATGAGGGTGAGTAATTAATGACAGAATTTTCATTTTTGGTTGAACTATCCCTTTAAACCTGAGCTATATTGCCCTAAGTCTTCAATCAATCAATACTCACTCTCATTAGTGCAGGACCTGTAGAGAACTTTTGCTTTGGTGAATGAGCTACTGCTTCCACTCTCTTCTCTCTCCAGCACTCCTATAGTAAAATAATATAAAGTATCATTGCATTTGTTGGACATTATAACAGACTGTCTTGGAGATGGGTTTCAAATGTCAGTTTTGCATCACCATCATAGAGAGTAGCTAAAAAAAAAATCCTAAATGAAAACCTCATACATCATGCTTTTGTGACTAC